CACTCTGAATATGCCTTGGTATTTTCACTATAACTCATGTTACACATAAACTATTAACATGAAACTAATTCCTAAATTTAGAGAACACATTTTCCTACAATTTTTATGAAGGAATCAATTCCTAATTTTACATGTATCAATCCCGGTAATTAAAAGACAGAGGCTGTTGAAATAAGGTAACATATTAACGTCACAGCTAGAACACCTGACAGTAAAATGGGCATAACTCGAGCTACAAATATCCGTTTGATGTAAAATCAGTTTCTAAGTTTCGATAATATAATTTACTACAACTTTTACGAAGAAATAAAGTTATAATTTTAATCATATCAATCCCAGAAATTCAAAAACTGAGGTCATTGAAACAGGGAAACATTTTAACATCACAGCTAGAACACTTGTTAGTAAAATAGACATAACTTAAGCTTCGAATATCCGTTTGATGTGAAACTAGTTTCCAAATTTCGGGAACATAATTTCCCACAAGTTTTATGAGGATACTAATTCTTAATTCTATTCACACAAGTCCCAGAATTTTAGTGAACAATACATACGAATTAGGGTTCCTAAGATTTTTAGTTCAACCATTTTTAATCCTCCACTTCAAACATGATTATAGTGTTCTAGGCATAAAATCACAAAAAAGAAACCATGATAATACTCTTCCCACTCCATTCAAGCCCAGCCAAGTGAGAAAAAAATTTGAAAATGCACCGTAGTGAAAATTGAAATCGTAGAAATGTAGAGGAGATTAAGAGGAACAAACTTATCTCTGGGGGCTCCTCAAGAAAATCAAGATTTAGCCTTCAATTTGTGGATTGGAATGTAAGGGTTTGAGAAAAAATAAAGAAGAAGAAAGGGTTGCAGGCTGCTGAATTGGGAGAAAACTAAAATAATTATAAAATGTTTGACAAAAATGCCCCTCAACTAAATACTAAAGGACTAGTTTGCCCTTTTTGTTCTTAATTGAGTTTTCTTTACTTCTCCCATTATAAACCTAATAATGAAAATTCTAACGGTCAAAACCTAAACCCATGTCTCAGGAAATTGATACCCAAATTTGAGATCATCCAACGGTTAACTAATTGGAGATCGTGATTTTACCGAAACTGTTCGAGATTCCAACGAATTTGAAATATAGTCACGGTTAGAGCTCTATTTCTCCCCATACAGAAGTCCAAACAACAACATGAATGGTGGAAATTTAGATAGGAATATCTTGAACATACTCTTCAACTTTTAGGGGAATCCAATAGTGGAATTGATTGCGATCTGGACTGGAAGCTTAGAGATTCTTTGGAGTCACAACCCCTTTTTCAGCCAAACAATTCTAAACACCTCCTTTCGGCTCTTCTAAACGCATACTAACTCACAAATCATACGAAACACTTCAAAAACAATTCCAATCTATCAAGGGAAAAATAAATAAATCCATACATAATTTCACATTATATACAAGCACTAAGCAATATTTACCATCATGCACACAACCAAAGAACTATCTAGCCCTCACCACACAGTTAATCATGCTCATACAAAGAGCTATAGAAAGCTAACTTGACAATTCTCCCTCTGAAAAGAAATTTTCATCCTTGAAAATGCAGCCACTAGCCCTCAGCAAAGAGATGGGGGTACAACTCCCTCATCTTGTTCTCCACCTCCCAGGTCGCATCATCGGTGACTAGATCCCACACAACTTTTACCAATCGGATTGATTTACCTCTGAGTTCTTTCACTCTGGTATCCTCAATCCGCGCAGCTGGCAGTTCCACTATCAAGTTATCTCTTACTTGCACAGTGTCTGGTTCCACTACATGCACAAAGTCACTGATATACTTCCTCAACTGAGACACATAGAAGACATTATGCAGGCCGGCTAGATTTGGGGGTAATGCCAACTCATAAGCCACCGGTCCTCTGCGGTATAAAATCTGATATGGTCCAATAAACCTGGGTGTCAGCTTCCTGGCCTTCAAAGCCCGCCCTACACTTGTGGTCCGAGAGACCTTTAAGAACACATGGTCTCAAACCTTGAACTCCAAGGGCCTCCGACGACGGTCAACATAGGACTTTTGTCTACTCTGCGTCATCCTCAACCTCTCCTGGATGAGTTTCACCTGATCCCTGGTTCTCTAGAGCATCTCAGGTTCAACCATCAAGTGAACTCCATCCTGAAACCAACACACAAGGATCCTACATCGTCTACCATACAAAGCCTTAAAAGGCGCCATGCCCATACTCGAATGGTAGCTATTATTGTAGGTAAACTTCATTAGAAGATGTAAATCCTACCAAGTACCCCTCTGCTCAACCACACATGCACGAAGTAAATCCTCTAAAGTTTGGATGGTCCATTCCGACTGGCCATCCTTCTGCGGGTGGTAAGCTGAACTCAATCTTAACTGGGTACCCATAGCTGCCTGCAAGCTCTGCCAAAACTGAGAAGTAAAACATGGGTCCCTGTTTGAGATAATGTTGGAGGGTATCCCATGAAATCTGACCACCTCCCTAACATACAACTCAGCCAGCCTTTCCATGATATATGTCATATTGACCAGTATAAAATGAGCACACTCAGTGAACCGATCGACTATGACCCACACCGCATAATGGTTCCTATCCGTCCGTGGCAAGTGGGACACAAAGTCCATCGTCACACTATCCCACTTCCACTCCGGAATCTCCATGGTCTGCAGCTCTCCTGGGGGACATCGCCTCTCTGCCTTGGCTTTCTGACAAGTTAGGCAGGCTTTCACAAACCGGGGGATCTCTTTTCTCATACCTGGCCACCAGAACATCTACTTCAAATTCTGATACATCTTTGTCACTCCAGGATGTATATTCAAACTACTATTGTGACCCTTTTCCAAAATCTTATTCCTCAACTCGGCACCCCTCGGGACACACACCCGATCACGGTACCGGAGAACACCATCAGCATGCCTATTAAACCCCTCGACTTTATCGGTGTGCATCAACAACACAAGCCGACACAACCTGGGATCCCATATCTGCTCTTCCTTAATCTCTTGTAGAAACCCGCTAATCACCACAACATGATCACACCTGATCTTCCCAGGTGACAAGATCATATGCAAATTCAGGTTTTACAACTGTTCAACCAAGAGGGACTCACTCACCCTCAAGGAGAACGCCTGAATCGCATTCCTACTCAAGGCATCAGCTACCACATTAGCCTTACCCGGATGGTACTGAAATTGGAACTCATAATCCTTTAGAAACTCCATCCATCTCCTCTGTCTCATATTTAACTCTTTTTTATCAAACAGATGTTTTAAACTCTTATGATTGCTAAATACATCAAACTGAGCCCCATATAGGTAATGCCTCCAAATCTTTAAAACAAATACCATAGCTGGTAGCTCCAAGCCATGGGTGGGGTAGTTTTGTTCATGAACTCGCAATTGGCGTGAGGCATATGCCACTATCCTCTTTTCCTACATCAGCACACACCCAAGACCTTGATGGGAGGCATCAAAATACACCTCAAATGACCGATTCACATCTGGGAGAATCAACACTAGAGAAGTGGTTAATCTCTCCTTCAGCTCCTCAAAACTTTGCTCGCACTGCTCTGTCCACACAAAGGGTTGGTTCTTACAGTTCAAAAGAGTCAATGGGGAAACTATCTTCACAAACCCCTCAATGAATTTTCGGTAATACCCTGCCAAACCCACGAAGCTGCGGATATCAGTCACCGTCTTCGGCCTCTCCCATCTCAACAGACTCTCCACCTTGGAAGGATCCACTGCAATCTCCTCCGACGAGATCACATGACCAAGGAAGTTCACTTCCTTCAACCAAAACTCGCACTTGGAATTTAGTATACAATTGCCTCTCCTTTAAGATTCCCAAGATAATCCTCAAATGCTCTACATGCTCTTCCTCTGAACCCAAATAGATGAGGATGTCATCTATGAATACTACCACAAACCGATCTAGAAAAGGCCGAAAGATACGGCTCATGTAGTCCATAAACACTGCAGGCACATTCATAACTCCAAAAGGCATCACCACATACTCATAGTGGTCATATCGAGTACGAAAAGTCGTCTTTGGAATGTCCTCATCCTTTACCCGAATCTAGTGGTATCCCGACCTTAAGTCAATCTTGGAGAACACTCTAGCACCCCTCAATTGATCCATCAAGTCATCAATTCTTGACAACGAATACATATTCTTAATGGTCAACTTATTCAACTAACGGTAGTCCACATACAGCCGGGAACTCTCGTCCTTCTTCTTCACCAACAGTACTGGTGCTCCCCAAGGTGACACACTGGGCCTAATCAACCGTTTCTGCATCAAATCTTCAACCTGTCCCTTCAACTCCACCAACTCCTTTGGTGCCATTATATATGGAGCTATAGACACAGGCTCCGCCCCTGAGACCAGGTCTATACAAAGCTCTACCTCCTTAGGCGGGGGTAATCCGGGAATATCCTCCGGAAACACTTCTGGGAACTCTCGCATTACAGGTAGTGATTGGAGGTCTTGCTCTTCCTCTGCACTTGACATAGGCAAGAGTATAAAACAGGAAGCTTTTTCACACAAAGAAGCCTCTACCTGTTGAGCCGTTATCAACTCTACACTTCCTTGACGCTCCAGAAAGACCAAACACATCCGAGCACAATCAAGGAGTACGTGATTGGCAGCCAGCCAATCCATGCCCAAAATCACATTCAACCCCGCCATTGGAATGCAAATAAGGTTCACCTTATACTGCCTCCCCTCAATCTCCAATGGACACCCCAAACACACAGTTGAGGTCACGATTGAGTTCGAAGCTGGGGTTGACACCACAAGTTCACACTGTAATTCACTCACTAACAAACCCAACTCTTTCACACAAGCATATGAAATAAAAGAATACGTAGCTCCATAATCATACAACACAGAAAGGAGCATACTTGTCACCGTGCCCGTCCCCTGAATCAAATATGTCGCCTGGGCCGCCTCTGTCCCAAACGTGGTAAACACTAGTGCCTCAGCCCTGCACTAGCTGCGGAAGATGCCGCTCCACTCTGAGTAGTGGGGCACTCCCTAGCAAAATGTCCCGGCTGCCTGCATGTATAACATATCTTCTGGCCCACCTGGCCAAGCTGCGGGTACTGGCTCATGAGATGTGGTCCCCCACACCGGTAACACCTTACAACAGATGGTGTTGGGGCCACCCACGATGGTCCACCTGCACCTCGTGGATAAGAGAAAAAGTAGTAATCCCCACAGGCCTAGGGACAAATGAGGTTGCCCCTCCAGAATGAGTAGGCCAAAACTATTGCCTCCTACCCTGACTGTGGTAGGGGCCTTTCCTTGCACCCCACTCTTCCCTTGGCTTCCATTGCTTCTGCTGGACTGGGCCTTTCCAACCCTCCAGCTCCCCCTTGCATCAACCCCTCAATGATGGTGGCCTGATCCACCAACTTAGCAAACATTGTGATCTCCAACGGAATCAAGATCACTTTAATGTCGGCCTCAAACCATCCGAGAACCTCTGACATTTCCACTCTTTTGGTGTAGCTTGGGAGTAAAATCTATACAGTCTCTCAAACTGTATCGCATACTCGTACACTAAGGAGTCTCCTTGCACTAAGCTGAGAAACTCTCTCTCCTTTGTAAATCTAACATGGGAGGGAAAGAACTTCCCAAGGAAACTGTCACGAAACACTTTCCATGTAACAATCACACCACGGGCCTCCAGCACAGCCCGGGCTCCCTACCACCACATGTCAACATCGCCCACTAGCATGTAGGCGGCATACATCACTTTCCATCCCTCGGCACAACCCATGGTGAGGAAGATCTTTTCTATCTCCCTTAGCCATTGCTTCGCTACCTCAGGTCTATTAATTCCCGTAAACTGTGGAGGATCACACCTCCTTAACTCAGCTGGTACTCAGGTGGTGGCACTGTTGCGGCAGTAGCGGTTGCTTGGGCGGTAGCAGCCGCCTGATTCGTAGCCTGTTGCTGCATAAAATTGAGGCTCTGCCTCATAGATGTCGCCACAACCTCCATGGCATGAGCCATCTGACTCATATCTACAGAAGGAGGATCAGAAGTAGGTCTCCTGGGTGGTCTTACAATCTAAAAAGCATAATCCACACCTCAGCACACTACTACACACAACATTCCTCACATAACATGTCACATACACTAGTCCATTCCTCATACACACAACAAGTATCAAACTCATCAATCACACAATCCTGTCACACAGGCTTAGGCCACTCAACATACCACATACAAAGCACATAACATTTACTATTTGCATATAACATACATCTCTTACTCATACAGTACATAGCATACAATCCATACAGAATAACATTCCTCATGTAAAGTGCACAACTTACACATTCTTCCCCACACATTATATTCTATCATTAGCTCACCCTAAGGTTATATGCTATAATTTCCCATCATTGATCATGCTAGAGAATCAAGGTGATCAGGCTCATCCTCTCATGACTCAACACCTGGCAATTATGGTTATAACTCACATCCAAAACCATTATTCAACATGCACAACTGAAACTTAGGAACCTCACCCCGTAAGTTTACCTAGACCATGCTCTGATACCACTAAATGTCACGACCCTTTTTTTTATATAAGGAATCTGACATGCGAAAAATAGATTTTTTTTTCAAGAGAGACCAAATTTTTTTTTCTGAATAATATAATTTCATTCATTCATTAAAACATATATATATATATATATATATATATATATACATATATATATATATATATATATATATATATATATAATCAAGTACTATACATCAATCCTTCAAATACAAATAGGTACAAAGTCAAGTATTTCAAAATATAATAAGGCTCATGGTCATTCTCCTATCTATAGGGAGTGAGCTACGTGCCCAAAATTTCCCTCACCCTCAGCTCCTCCTAGCTTGCCCATCCCCTTGGTTAGCCGAGGCTACACCTGTATCACCTGCTCCCCTACCAAGTACGATCATAGCAGAACACATCACAAAGAAATGCAAGGGTGAGCTAAAATCAACATTTATAATTCACAACTCTAATGATAGAGTATAATCAGACAATAATATAAATATCCAATTCATTCTCTTAGGCGACATCTAACATATAGCCTCGCCTTCAGGGAAACATCTGACACATAGCCGTTTCCAGGAAAACCACATGACACACAGTCGAGTCCCCAATTAGCATAATCATCTGACCCTCAAAGTCTAGTTTTCATATCTTAGCCATACAGTCTCAATTAGAAAAACTATCTGACCCCCAAAGTCTAGTTTGCATATCTTAGGCATACAGTCTCAATTAGCAAAATCATCTGACGCCCAAAGTTTAGTTTGCATATCTTAGGCATATAGTCTCAATTACACATAGTTCATAACCATACAACCAATCATAACTCAAGCACACATCAATATTTCTCAATGCACTCAGCTTCACATGATACACAGTCCCACATTGCACTTTCACATCATACAATTGTTCATTAACATATAGCATTCTCATACACATTGTCACACTAATTTCATTTACTCATAATTAGCACTAAGCATATTACATAACATTATTTATCACAATCATCCAATACACAACACCCACTCATTCAATTATCCTCGCACCAATCATCACAAAGAGGTTAGGAAAAGCTCCCCTTACCTGGTACGTCCACGTTTATTTTCTCCAAAGCTTGAGACTAATTTCCTATTAGCAAAGATGAACAAGATTCAGTGTTTTTGGCATAACTCAACCTATACTCAATATTTTGACATGAGACCAGTTTCTAGCTTTAATGGACTCATTTATATACAACTTTGATGAAGAAAATAAATTTAAATAATCTATAGAATAAATGTAGTTTTCAGTTTACAGTGGTTGTTTCTAACCGGGCTCAACTACAATAACACTCTGAACATGCCTTGGTATTTTGACTATAACTCATGTTACACATAAGTTATTGACATTAATCTAATTCCTAAATTTCGGGAACACATTTTACTACAATTTTTATGAAGGAATAAATTCCTAATTTAATATGTATCAATCCCAGAAATTCAAAAGCAGAGGTTGTTGAAATAGGGTAACATCTTAACGTCACAGCTAGAGCACCTGACAGTAAAATGGACATAACTCGAGCTAAAAATATCCGTTTGATGTGAAATTAGTTTCTAAATTTCGATAATATAATTTCCTACAACTTTTATGAAGAAATAAAGTCCTAATTTTACACGCATCAATCCCATAAATTAAAAAACCGAGGCTATTGAAACAGGGAAACATTTTAATGTCACAGTTAGAACATTTGTCAGTAAAATAGACATAACTTAAGCTTCGAATATCCGTTTGATATGAAACTAGTTTCCTAATTTCGGGAACATAATTTCTACAATTTTTATGAAGACACCAATTTCTAATTCTATTCACACAAGTCCCAGAATGTCAGTGAACAGTATCTACGAATTAGGGTTCCTAAGGTTTTTAGTTCAACCACTTTTAATCCTCCACTTCAAACATGATTCTAGTGTTCTAGGCGTAAAATCACAACAATAAAACCATGATAATACTCTTCTCACTCCATTCAAGCCCAGCTAAGTGAGAAGAAAAATTGAAAATACACCGTATTGAAAATTAAAACCGTAGAAATGTAGAGGAGATTGAGAGGAACACACTTACTTCTTGGAGCTCTTCAAGAAAATCAAGATTTAGCCTTCAATTTGTGGATTGGAATGTAAGGGTTTGAGAGGTAATAAAGAAGAAGAAAGGGTTGCACACTGCTGAATTGGGAGAAAGCTAAAAGAATTATAAAATATTTGACAAAAATGTCCCTCAACTAAATACTAAAGGACTAGTTTGCCTTTTTTGCTCTTAATTGAATTTTTTTTTATTTCTCCCATTATAAATTTAATAATAAAATTTCCAATGGTCAAATTCTAAAACCACGTCTCAGAAAATAGATGCCTAAATTTGAGACCGATCCAACGGTTAAAAAATTGGAGATCATGATTTTACCAAAATTGTTCGGAATTCCAGCGAATTTGAAACAGAGTCACGGTTAGAGCTCTTTTTCTCCCCATACACTAGTTCAAACAAAAATATGAACGGTGAAAATTTATATGAGAATGTCTTGAATGTACTCTTCAACTTGCAGGTAAATCCAACAATAGAATTGACTGCGATCTGGACCGGAAGTTCGTAGGTTCTTTGGAGTCACAACCTCTTTTTCAGCCAAACAATTCTAAATACCTTATTTCGGCTCTCCTAAACACATACTAACTCACATATCATACGAAACACTTCAAAAACAATTCCAATGCATCAAGAGAAAAATAAATCAATCCATACATAATTCCACATTATATACAAACACTAAGTAATATTGACCATCATGCACACAATCAAAGAACTATCTAGCCCTCAACATACAATTAATCATGCTCATACAAAGAGCTATAGAAAGCTAACCTGACACGAAGCAAGATAAGTTTTGACTCTAATGTCGGATTTGGACGTACAACATATGAAAACGAAGGAAAAAAAAACGAAGAAAAGAGGGAAGGGGATTTGTGCCAACAATTTTTGCAAAATTATGCTCCTTAGCAAATGTAATAGACAAAAGTAGTGAAAAAGAGAAAAATATTATATTATTATAATATTTATACTCTTGTATTTAAATTTTAAAAAGAGGGAAGGGGATTTGTGCCAATATTATGTTATATTTAGTTTCTAATTCAGTGTAATAAGCATGATACTACTATAGCATATATTGGATTCTTGGACGGAGGTAATTGCTTTCAACATTTGTTAAGTTCATTTATCTTTATGCATATTGTTTGTTAACAAGAGTCAAATTAATGTTTCAGGTATTTCAAAATTCATCAATCTCTATTATCAAGTATTTCTATTACTTAGTTTGTAGGTTATTATTTGTATTATATTATGTAATTTAACTTTTGTTTTAAACTAATTTAGACTTTATATTAGTTTAGCTTTGTAATGTTTACATTTTAAGTAGTTTAGTCTTTGTACTAATTTAGCTTTGAATTATTGTCTATTGAAAGTATGGAAGCTGATTGACTATAGGACAAAATAAATCAAATCAAATATTTAAAAAAAGGACGAAATTGACGTTAAGTCTGAGATATACCTGACGTAAATTTATGTCAATTACATTCTAGGTCTAATGTAAATTTATGTCAGTTATGCCCAAATTCAACGTGAATTTACGTCAGTGATTATGTGCAAAATAAATTTATGTCTCCCTATTAACGTGGACTTGTGTATGACGTGAAAATGTCAAAATAACATACCTAAAAAACCCCATTAATAATATTTTATTTTTTTAATAACCTTTTTATTATAATTATTGTTGAGTTATTCGAGGGATTCACTTTAGAGAAACATTCTTAAAGTGTTAGTTATTACATAAATTAGCACCTCTAATACCACTCGTTAGCATTAGAGTCTTTCACAAGGATATTCATCATGGAAAAATAATATTAATAAAACATGAATCTAACTCACATAAGATATTTATAATTTCTTACTCAATTTATACTTGTCATTCATCATAATAAAACACGTTTATCTGATCCACCAACACAATCCATAGTCTCTTATCTTGGAGTCTTGTAAAAAATAAATAAAAATTATGCTTATAGATCCATCTATGCATGATGTAAGATAGAGTTAAACATATTACATATTAAATAACATTTTATATTTAAATCTTAAACATGAGAAAAGACTATTAGAAGAAAAAATCCAATTAAATACCAGTTAGGTTTATTAAATAAGAATAGTTATCAAAGGGTTAGATAAAGATAGTTAACTGAATATTAAATTTAAATATAATGAAATCTAAAATTATATTTACTTTTTTTATTAATTATGTTAAAATAAAAAAAGTTATTATTAAATATTAAATTTCTGTATGTAAAATTTAAAATTACATATTTTTTTAAAAATTAGAAGACTGCATCATCAATTTCAAAGTATAAACAAAATTAAAAAGCAAATACAATAATTTAAATCATACTTTTATCTTTCCATAAACTTTGATCATATATATAGAATATATCTAAACGAGCTTTTTTCATAAATATTTCTAAAAAAAAAAAGTAAAATAAATTTATTCATAATCTAAAATTAGTCTATATAAAATTTCAAAAAAAAAATTTCAAAATTCATATATAAAAAAGAGTTTTTACAAATTAACACCTATACATTAATTAGTTTTAATTTATTTTCTTAAAATTAATTATAACGAATTTCATGAAATAAAACTCATAATCAATAAATATTTCCTATTAACAATATTGTTATCTAAATAATGAATATAAAATGTAATTGAGACTTCTAATGTTAATACGAATCAACAAGTAACATATGGTGAATCTGTGAAAGAAAAAAATATTTATTATACATATATGTATATATATTTGAAAAGGAAAAAAATTAAGTATAACTAAATCAAATTCTGGATTGAGAATTAATTACTAATTACTTGTTTGCTCAATTAATATATATTTACATAGATTACATAATTGTGAGTTTATTAGAAAGGATCAAAATTTTATATATATTATAAATATATATAATTAAACTCACACTTGACCTACTTTCTTAATTATATATTTTTAATATTTATCTTTTTAATACTAACATTTTATATGTTAGTGAAAAAAATAATCCTGAACAGAACATTAAAAAAAATGGTAATTGGAGAATAAAAGTAATGTAAGTATTATTACTTGACTACATGCTCTCTTCTTCTATACATAGACATTATATTTATAACATAAAACTGAAAAATTAATTAGACTTAATATTCTATACATTATTAACTGTTAAATTATTATCTAACATTATACACCACTACCATATTTTAATTAAAATATTGCTAATCATTTTAATTATATATTTTGAAGATAAAAATAATAATGGATGTTTTGAAGGTTAATCTAATTAACAGTTGATCACAAGATTGGAACACAATTAATTAATATAATAAGAGTCCCTTAGGTTCATTTTACAGTAAAAGTGATTCGAAACCAATATAAAATTTAAATATGGTTTAGTTCGATTTAATATATTTTTTTAAAATTTTAATCGAATCAATTAATATTTTGTAGTTTAGTTTTGATCATTTTTGTGGTTTTTCATCATAATTTTGTTAAATATATTATAATAAAATAATCATTTAATAAAAAAAATATTATGTATAATTAATTATGATATTTGTAATTTTAATTTATTTTTATATGTATTTGTATTTTATTAAAATAACAATATATATAATAAATTATAAGAATTATTCCACTCACTTATAACGATTATCATCTTATATTTTAATTTAGATTTAATTTGGTTCAGGTTACAAATCGAGAATTGAATTAAATTTAACAATTATAAAATTTTTTAATTTAAAAAATATAAAAAAAAATAATTTATCAAATTTTGACTTCTTTATTTATTTTTGAATTTATTCAATTTTAAATTTTCTTAATTATAATTTCATTTAAATTAAAATTAAAAAAATTTTATAAAAATATCTTAACCTCATATTTATTATTATAATATTAAATATAAAGTTTTTTCTTATTTAAAAGTTTAATTTATCATAATTTTATATTTAAAAATTATTTATAATCTTTATTATTAAAAGATGATAATTTTATATTTTGATATGTAATTTTTATGAAAGCTTTTGATATTTTAATTATTATTATTATTTTTAAGTTTTCAAATTGATTAAATGGTAGGGAGTAGTTGGATTTATCCACAATTTTGCAGGAGAATATGACTTAACTTAGATCCAAAATGAATATATTCTGAACAGTACAATATCTTTCCAAATGAGATTTGTAGGGTACTTGAGCCCATACAAGCTTTGGCTACCTTTATTTTCTTCCTTTGTTTGTGAGATTGAGTTCAAAAGACATGGCATGTCTCATCTTTTGCTACTACACACTGTTATTCCTCACTAGACCTGCAAAATGAGAAAACAAAACTGAACTGAGTCTTTGATTCCTCTTCATGAAAAACCTCTAAATCACCAGCAGATGCTGACACCTGTCAAATCTTCAAATATCATCACACTTTATGCTTCAAAATTGCTGTAAGATCCCCTCGTCTGTCTATTTCAGGCCTAAACTCACCTTTTACTGCATATCCAACCACCTACATATTCCTTACAATACAATCTTATAATGTGTTCGCATAAATATTATTTTAAAAATAATATTTATTTTTATCTGGTTCTAAGAATATTATTTAAAAAAAAAAATGCAAATAAAGAAAATGAAGTGTGAATAACAGTGCCAGAAAAACTTTCATCTCATAAAGTGATAATCTGACACAACATGGGCCTTTGGCCTTTTGCAATTATGGTATCGACCCACACATGTAGTTTTTATCAATTTAAATAGAAAGCTTAAACAAAAAAATCATCCAAGTACTTTAATATAATAATTGATTATATTTACACCATGTACTATTAATTAATTATATCGGTATCTCATCTATTATATTACTATGCTTTCTTTTTCTTGTTGTATCGATTATATTTTTTTTAATTGGTTATTTAAATCAGTTGGAACTGTTTTTATCTTTTTTAAAAGAATAAAACTTACATAAATTTAATATGAATTGAAAAACGATCAAAGTACTAAAAAAAAGATTAGCGGGATCAAAAGAATGTTTGATTATATGAATCTTATGACAAAATTGCATTCAAGGGATAAATGATGTGGCTATAAAATTTTGTATAGTGTGCAATTCAAAGCTCATGTGATTTTGCTTTTATTTTGTAGTTTTGTAATTTTTGTAGTATTTTTATGATTGTGAAGTGAATATTATCAAGATTGCTTGAAAATTGTGAGGATAATATTTTCAATTTTTGTAGTTTTTATTAGATCTTGTTAAGGTGTTTGTATTTCAAGATCTGTAATTTGTTTTATAATTTAAATATTCAATTGATTGATTAGATTTTTAAAAAGCTTTTCATTTTGGTGTGTTTAGTCATTATGAATTTTCCAACAAATTTTTTACTTATCGTATTTTTTTATTTGCTCTTCACATTTTGTTTGACATTTACCAAAATAAAAATAACAATTAAGATAGCAATTCATATATATATAATATCATTGTGAGAATAAAAATTAAATTGAAAAAAATGTAATTTTTATTTTCTTTTTAATCTATATATATGTACCAAAATCTATTCTAATTAAAAATTATTATCTTATTTTAGTTTGTATTTAATTAAAATTTGTAGACAATAAAATTGTGTTTTTAAGATTTGATCGAACAAAATAAATTATTATACTTATTTTCATTGAAACTTTTTACCATTCTATCCCTCTTTTGTTATTTTTTAGTATTTAAACTCACGTTGTAAGCTTTTTCTAAACACATTTAAGTCTTTGAATAAAATACTCTTTCTTTCTTTTTTGTCTCTAGTTTTCTCTGTTCTAATATGGTATCAATTTGTAACCTTACCTTTTGCATCTTGTAATTTCTCTCTCGATTCTTTTCTTGTTCTTCATGACTTCTCCTATTGTTCCACCTTTGGATCCCCATGATCCTCTCTTTATTCATTATGGTGATCATCCAGGCCAGAGTCTTGTTTCTACGCCTCTAAATGGTGACAACTTTGGTTCTTGGAGACGCGCAATCGTCATTGCTCTTGAATAAAAAAAACAAGATGGGTTTCATTGACAAATATCTTCCCCAACCCATCAATCCAATCCAACTTTCTTTGTGGAAAAGAAATGTCAACATAGTGCATTATTGGCTTCTTTATTCAGTCACAAAAGATATTGTTACCAGCATCATCTACTCTTCTATTGTTGTCGTCCTATGGGAAGACTTACATTCTCAATATAGGTAAAACAATGGTCCTAGGGTTTTCCAGTTGAAGAAAGCTATTTTCTCATGTCCTTATACACCATAACAAAATTTTGTTGTAGAAAGGAAACATCAAAATTTGTTAAATGTGGCTAGATCCTTATTATTTCAATCTAATGTTCCTATTGTTTTTTTAGGGTGACTGTATTTTAACTACTACATATATCATCAATAGGATACAATCTTCTGTTTTAGATAATTGCAGTCCTTATCAGATCCTTTACAATACTATCTTGACCATTCCAACTTTAAAATCTTTGGCTGTTTATGTTATGCTACTACTTAGAAACATGGCAGACATAAGTTTAGTCCCAGGGTTGAACCCACTATTATTATCTCCAGAAATGTGACTTTTCATGAAAATATTATGTCTTTCACTATGTAACATCATAACTCTACACATCAATTAAATTAAACTAATGATTCCTTTATCCATATTGTTGTCCCTCGGTAGGCCAATGATTTTTCCCCTACCACAATTTTTTTTCAACCACCCATCAATAAAAACAATCATCCTTCTCATAATGATAATAATGATTTGACTAATCAACCTACTTTATCTCCTTGTAATATTCCTATAAGATCTTCTCGCCACATTAACCCTCCTGCTTATCTAAATGAACATGATGTTTCTATTTCTAACTTGCATTCTTCTCATTCTATATGTCACTCAATTTTATATGATAAGCTTTTTACTGCATATCGCAATTTTGTTATGTAAATCAACAACATTTATGAACCAATATATTATCATCAAGTTGTTTGATTCCCTGAATGCCAGACTTCTATGGACAAAGAGCTTGTAGTAATGGATACCAATCACACATGGACTATTGTTCCCCTACCTAAAGACAAAAAGACCATCAGTTGTAAGTGGATCTACTAGGTAAAATATAATGTTGATGGTACCTTAACCAAAAGAAAAACTAGACTTATAGCATATGGGTTTACACAAGAGGCAAATATTGATTTCCTTGACACTTTCTCTCTTGTTTCTACTATTACTATTGTAGATGTCCTTTTATATTTGACTGTCGTTAAAAAATGGAATTTTATTTAGCTAGATGTACAAAATGCTTTTCTAAATGGCTATCTAGATGAAGAGGTATGCATGAAAATACCACAAGGTTATAAGATCCAACAAAATGATAATAGTAATCTTGTTTGTCAGTTAAATAGATCTTTATATGGCTTAAAGCAAGCCTCTTAGCAATGGTTTAAACATTTCTTTACATCATTAAAAACCCATGGTTTTAGACAATGCACATGTAATTATTCCCTTTTCTGTTATGATGATGAAAATGATATGGAAACATGCAATTTAAGTAGAGAAATTAAAAAGAGAGAAGTGAAAACATAAAGAGGAAGCTAAACAATTATAAAATTAAAGGAATAAATTGATAAAATAAAAGAGCAGAGAAAAAGGAAACTTATGGAAGGTGTTCACGCCACTTGGAAGAAACTCCTAGAAAAGTGAAGGATGGTGATCATCACTTGCTTCATGATAAGATAAGATCACAAAATTTCAACTAAGAGATAATCTCTATCTCAAGAGTTTGCAAAATGCAAAAACTAACTCTTATTCAATTTCAATTATGAGCATACAAGAGGAGTAGGGACTTTATTTATAGGCTTGGGAGCATAAGTAGTGGGCATGAGCTAGGAAATGTGGGACTTTGGAGCAACCAAGGGAGAAGTCCCACATCTCCCCACTACTTGTTCTCCTAAGTTTTTATAAGCCCAAAAAATACTAAAACAACAAAAACTAATCTAAGGTGAACTAAAATAAGCTAGAACATGTAAATGAACCGAGAATAAAAGCCCAAAATCCTATACTACTCTTTTTAGGAGAAGGAATAAAAGCCCATCTATGGTCATATCATCCCCCCGTGATGGAGAGGATTTGACCACGAATCGGGAAGACCCGTAAAAGGAGAAAGATCAGCCACATTAAAGAAAGTACCCACATTATAAGAATCAAGCAAATCAATCTCATATGCATTGTCATTTATTTTGCGAAGGACTTGAAAGGGACCATCTCCTCTTGGATTGAGTTTGGATTTCCTTTGGGAAGGAAATCTATCCTTCCTTAGGTGAACCCAGACCCAATCACTAGGAGAAAAGGTGACTTTCTTCCTATATTTATTTGCTTGAGAAGCATATTTTTCATTTTTCTTTTCTATTTTGGTTTTGACTCGACTATGCAAATCTTTAATAAATTGGGCTTTAGAAACATCATCCATGCACATAGAGTCAAAGTCAGGAAGGGGGAGGAGGTCCAATGGAGTGAGGGGGTTGAAACCATAGACAATATGAAATGGGGAATATGATGAAGTGGAGTTAACTACCCTATTATATGCAAACTCAACGTGGGGTAGTAACTCCTCCCACTGCCTAGAGTTGCCATCAATACAACATCGTAATAATTGACCTAAAGTTCTATTAGTAACTTTTGTCTGACCATCAGTTTGTGGATGACAAGTGGTAGAGAAAAAAATTTTAGTGTCAAGCTTATTCCACAAAGATCTCCAAAAGTGACTAAGGAACTTAGAGTCTCTATCAGACACTATAGTTATGGGTAACCCATGCAGGCAGACTACCTCTCTAAAAAATAAGTTAGCAATATTTACAATATCATTTACTTTGTGGCAGGGTATAAAATGAGCCATTTTAAAAAATCGTTCCATTACCACAAAAGTAGAATCCATCCCTCTTTTGGTCCGAGGTAAACCCAAAATAAAATCCATAGACATGTCAACCCAAGGTGAACTAGGGTCTGGAAGAGGTGTGTATAAGCCATGAGGATGGGTGGTAGACTTAGCATGTTAGCAAGGGATGCATTGACTACAAAACTTAGCTACATGTTTATGCATGTGAGACCAAAAAAAATGTTCATGTAGTATGTCTAAAGTCTTTGCTACCCCAAAATGACCCATTAAACCACCCTCATGTGCTTCTTTGATGAGAAGAAATCTTAAGGATCCCTTGGGTACACATAGGCATTTATTTTTGAAAAGGAAACCATTTTCTAAGAAAAAAATTCTTGTGTGGCCCAAGGGAACATAAGTTAAAAGTGGAGGAAAAATCACTATCATCTTGGTATAACTCCTTGATGTTATCAAACCCAAGAAACTTAGTTTCCAAAGTAGTCAAAAGAGTATGTCTTCTAGATAGGGCATCAGCCACTATGTTTGAAGCACCTTTCTCGTGTTTGATAACATAAGGAAATTGTTCTAAGAACTCCACCCACTTGGCATGTCTTTTATTGAGTTTGCTTTGACCTTTCAAATGTTTTAAAGTTTCATGATCACTATGGATCACAAATTCTTTTGAAATCAAGTAGTGTTGCCAAGTATGCAAAGCTCGAATAAGAGCATAAAGCTCTTTATCATAGGTGGAATAATTTAAGTGACTTCCTTTCAACTTCTCACTAAAGTAAGCTATGGGATGCCCTGTTTGAAGAAGAACAACCCCAATGCCTACATTAGAAGCATCACACTCAACTTCAAATGATTTAGAAAAGTCAAGAAAGGCTGGAATGGGAGCATGAGTTAACTTATCTTTTAAGATTTGAAAACCTTTTGTTACTCATCTCCCCATTAAAACCCTACATCTTGCTTTACTATATCACTTAAAGGAGCGGAGAGAGTAGAGAAGTTAGGCACAAAACATCTATAAAAACTAGCTAGCCCATGAAAACTCCTAACATCTTTGATGTTTTGAGGAATGGGCCAATCCATAGTGGCAATGGGGAATAAGTTCAATAAGCATAAAGATTACCCCTTGAAAAACCTCATAATTCCTACGGTTTTCCACTTATTTCCAATCAATTTTTTTATTTTCTTTTTACAATTTTTTAGTGTATATATTTTTGCAGATTTTTTCAAGCCAATCACCAAACAACTCAATACCAACAAATCAATCCCTAGAAGCACTCCCACACTTATTAGAAACTCATATCCAAAACAATTCCAAAGCTCCTTTAATCCCTAAGGTTATGGGATATCATGGTTTTTCACTTTTTGGCTTGTAATGAGGTAAAGTTCAAGGAAAGGGTATAAAGGTTCAGAAGGGGACACAATGGAAAATATGTAAGGTAGGCTATTTGGCTAGTAGCTTAAGAAAGATAACCTAACTCATATCAATAATGCATGTGAACAAGAGGCTTCAAAAAGAGTCAAGGCAAAACCTAGAGTAATCTAGCAACATGAGTGAAATCACACAGGAAAGAAAATGGTATGGAATAAGATGTTCCAACCAAAATAGGCTCAAAACTCACAAGGCTAAAATTCTAACATTAATGAATCAAACTTTAATTTTCCAAACAACTTACTATACTAGAAATGTAAAAATGCCTCATATCATAACCTATTAACTAAAAATGATGAACAACTTTCAAAAACTTTTTATTTATCCACAAACAAAAATAAAATCAAAACAGCAAAAATGTACAACTCAAAACAGCAAAATAGAAACAAAATACAGAATTTATAACAGAAAACATAAACAAAATTTAAAATGGAAAACAGAAACAAAATACAAAAATAGAATTATAAAAGTAATACAAAACAGAAACAAATACAAAAACAACAAAACAAAATAGATTTAAAAATCAGAATATGAAATAGAAACAAGATATAGAATTAAAAACAACAATAGAAATAGAAACAATA